GGTATGCATTAGAAACAACAACGCACTTACTGAATAGGGTTCCAACTAAAGCAGTATCTAAACCTCCATATGAGATATGGAGTGGGAAGAAACCACATCTTAATTATATTAAGATTTGGGTATGTCATGCCTATGTAAAGAAGCAAGATCCCAAAAAAGTTAAAGGTACGCTCAGTATTATACAAATTTGTAGGATGTCCAAGGAATTCTATTGGATATCAATTCTACCACATCGATGAACAAAAGATAATTGTTTCTCGGCATGCCACCTTCTTAGAGAAGGATTTTCTTGAAAAAGAAATTAGTGGGATCATGGTAGAACTGGAAGAAATTTCAGAGATACAAAATATTACTGATAAATTAGTAGAACCAGCAAATTCAGTTATACCAGAAGAACCTTAACCACTCCACAGATATCCAAGGCGATCTCATGCACCTAAGACACAATATAATTTTTTAGTTGAAGGTGGCATATTAGATCACGTCATAGATGATGACGAACCTTTAAGTTATCAGCAAGCCTCTCAGAGTAGGGACTCTGTTGCTTGACATGATGCAATGAAATCTGAAATAGACTCTATGTACACCAACAAAGTATGTATATTAGACAATGCTCCTAAAGAGGTGATACCCATAGGTTGCAAATGGTTGTTTAAGAAAAAGTTGGGTGTAGATGGAAAAGTAGAGACTTTTAAAGCTAGACTGGTAGCTAAAGGTTTTCGTCAAAGACCTGGTTTGGACTATGATGAAACTTTTTCTCCAGTGGCTATGCTCAAGTCTATTCGGATCCTACTTGCTATAACTGCTCACTATGACTATGAGATCTGGCAAATGGACGTCAAAACTGCATTTCTAAATGGTGATTTAGAAGAGTGCATATATATGACGCAACCAGAGGGTTTTGTAGTCAGTGAGAGCAGTGGAAAAGTATGTCGATTGCTTAAATCCATTTATGGACTGAAGCAAGCATCGTGGAGATGGAACATCTGTTTTGATGATGCTATCAAAGAGTTTGGTTTTATCAAAAATCCAGATGAACCATGTGTGTATAAAAGAATAATTAGGAGTATTATATCGTTTCTTATTTTATATGTAAATGATATACTCTTAATCGGTAATGACATACTATCATTACAAGCGGTTAAAATTTGGCTATCAAAAAGATTCTCCATGAAAGATTTAGGTGAAGCATCCTGTGTACTGGGTATTCAGATCTATAGAGATAGATCTAAAAGGATGTTAGGATTATCGCTATCTAGATACATTGGCAAAGTACTAAAACGGTTTAGCATGGAAAATTCCAAGAAAGGTTTTGTACCTGCATCTCCTGGAATCTCCCTCTCTAAAAAGATGTCTCCCCAGACTGATGAATAGAGAAAATACATGAGTCTAATTCCTTATGCCTCGGTAGTAGGATCGATCATGTATGTCATGTTATGTACTAGACCAGATATCGCTTATTCACTCAGTTTGGTAAGTAGATACCAATCTGATTATGGAGAAGAACACTGGAAAGCGGTCAAGAATATACTTAAGTACCTTAAAAGGACTAAGAAGTTATTTTTGATATACGGTAAAAGTGACCTCCGAATTGAGGCTTTTTCCGACTCAAGCTTTCAGAGCGATATCGATGATAGTAAGTCTGTATCAGGATATGTTTTCACCCTCAATAGAGGGGCTGTCAGCTGGAAAAGTTTCAAGCAGGATATAATAGCAGACTCGACTATGGAAGCTGAATACATTGCAGCCAATGATGCAGGTAAAGAAGCTGTCTGGATGAGGAAGTTCCTTTTAGAGCTGGAAGTTGTTCCCACCATTAAAGATCCAGTACCTTTATACTGTGATAATAATGCTGCAATAGCTCTGACAAAGGAACCCCGATCTCACCATAAGTCCAGACACATTCTGAGGAAATATTACTTGATCAGGGAGATAGTTGATCGCCGGGAGATCAAGATTGAAAGAGTAGACACAAAAGATAATATAGCAGATCCATTCACAAAGGCAATTGATCGTTCACAATTTGAGAAACTTGTTGAGCTATTGGGTATAAGATACTATAATAATTGGCCTTAGTGCAAGTGGGAGTTTATTAGATATAGGTGCCCTGCAGGCAATTATTGTATATTATAACATGACCTATATGTATATAACATCCTTGTTTAAAATGATAGTATGCTATTTTGGTCAGATTTATCTGATGTTTGTATATAACATCCTTGTTTAAAATGATAGTATGCTATTTTGGTCAGATTTATCTGATGTTCTAAAAATACAGATAATGTCCTTAGAATAAATACTAGACTATCAGACATTTCGGATAGTGATCGTAATGAAGTGATCTGATTAGTCAGTAACGTATATTCTAAAATATTCCTAGTTGATGAAGTGTTGAGATAGGACATCATCATTTTGGTTTAGACTAGTGTATGCTTTATTTCTCCTTTTGAAGGAGATGATCAATCTCTTAGATCATTGATGTGAGACATCAAGATACAGTATACAAGTGACTCATTAGTGAATGAGTTGACTGAACGACTCGCCGAGAACATCTAGTTGGTAATATACTTAACTGTCAAATAGAAGTTCTCAAGTGATATAGTACATAGTAGTCTCTTGACCTGAGGCATGAGTGCAATATCTTATATATCAGTAAAGATGTATTTAGACTTTTACCTAACCACAGTTCTTATTGAATTATGCATAACGGTTTTTGTTGGGTACATCCCGAGACATAAGTAGATATTGAGATGCCAAGAAGGGATTCATCTCTCCCAGTATAGGGGTTGATGTCATAAGATTTTTTGATATAACTATAGCCTGGAAATCCTTAGCTAAGGTGAATAAGATAAACTGAGTGTCAGTTTGATCTTATAGGTTATGAGTTTAATATCAATAAACACTAATCAAGCTATTAGGGTTTGACAGTTTGCCATACCCTAGGCTCAATAGTTTGACATTGTTTGACAAAGAGACCGGACTTACGGTATTATCATTGAGTGGTCCTGATAAAATTGGATAAGCATCTTACAGACCTTTATCACAACTTATACCCGGGTGGTCTTCATGTGTAGCTAGCACCTCTGTTGTACTTGTGGATATGATCCACACCGAGTTTTTTAAGTTGGGCCCTAGAATCACACCAAGCGCGTACTTGAATCCTATGAAACATAATTTATGGAGTGATGCGTATGATTGATACGCATATATGATTTTTTCGGATACACATAAACAGTTATGTATATCGGTAAAATTAGAATGTTATGTGCTTAGGAAATGAATTCCAGTATTTTTCCCATAAAGTTAACTTTTTGGTCAACAGTTAAGTTTTTGGTCAACAGTTGACTTTTGGTCAACTCTTGATTTATTTGGTCATATAGTGACTAATTAGTTAAAGATTGGAATAATACTATATACCGTATTTATAAAATACTATATTAGTAATATTGATTTGGTATTTTCATTTATGAAATACACATACCATGTATAATGAGTCATGAGATGAGTCATTTAGTGGTATGGTTTGAGCATATGGTTTATTAGCACATGGCTTTGAAATGTAATGATTCATGAGATGATTCATTGCATGACTCACTAGATTAATCATTGATATTTGATGATTCATTGCATGACTCATAGTATGAGTCATTCATGTCATGAACATATTTCACTCTATAAATATGAGCTCTCTCTCTTCATGAAAGGCTAATGAAAATTAAATTTCCATAAGAGAAAAAAAAGAGAGCTATACTTCTTACTAAACTTTAGCAATCTTTGAGTAAGAGGAAGTAGTAGGATTTTAAGAACCCCAGGGTGGATATCTTGCCTCGCGTCTCAAGCAGCATCCTATAGCTTTCGGGTTTACTTGAAGAGTTGGAGATCCACTACGAAGAGCTTTCTGCATCAAAGAGAGCAAGCTAAAGGTTGTTCGATTCATTATCGAATCACGCTACAAAAGTATGACTTTCAAACCTTGTATGCTCACTTAATAATAAGGATCATGTTAGATTTAATTAGACGATCCATATGAATATTTCATGCTCTCTACATACTTAGTATTTTTTGTATATACATGTCTTCCGCTGTGTATTATGCATGTAGACATAACACGATTTCCTTCAGATTCTTCATGCTTCAGTACATTATTTTTTTCCTTAAATGTTTTAGAATGCAAACGGGAACAAAATCATCAGGGTTTGGTTATCATAGTGCAGTTTAGATGCATAAAGATTTCCAGGAGCTGGGAGAAAATAGGGATGAGAAAGAACTTTAATTCTTTCACTTTTGAACGGCCTTATAATAGTGGGATTTAGAATAATTAAGAAAACTTGGACCCTTTACTGGCTCTCAACTCGATCAGTCCATCTTAATGAACTTTTTTCTTCCTTCACTTTTAGTACCGGGTCTACCTAATCACGAAATGAAGCGGTAGAATTCAGGAAACACAGTTATAAAGTAGGCTCTTCATCAGGTTGACCTAGAAAAAGTTTTATACACACACATATGAAAGAAAGTGCAGCTTAATCATGTCTTCTGATATTCATTGGAAGATCAATTGACTATTTTCCAAGTTAGCAGCATGATAGTGATATCATTATTAAGTGGGTTCTGATATTTTGAACTGAAGCTTTTTCTTTTATGATTACCTTGGTCAAACATTCTCTTAACTTAGTGTTAGAACATAGAACAATAACCCTCAACCCTTACTATATCTTTGAAGTTTTGGTGTAGTGGTAGGGGTTTTATATGGTATCAGAGCAACCCATGTCTGAATCCCTTCTGCCACAAATTAAAAGCGGATTAAAAAATGATACTCATGAATCCAGATTTCAGCCTATAAAAAGGACACTCAACTTTCAGGAGGCATGTTAGAATATAAAATAATAACTCTCACCCCTCACCATGAATTTAGAGTTTTGATGTAGTGATAAGTACTTTAAGAGTTAGCATAACTTTTTTCTTCCTTTAGCTTCAGAATACTAAACCAGTTTGCATAACAGATTGAACCTCAGCTTGTGAATGGGAAAATTGTTATGATTGTTGCACAGGGGAACTCATTGAGGTCTATTATTATGTACCTCAACAAGTTGACTTCCCAGGAGGTAATGAACTGATGCCTATCCCATACTTACATTTGTAGTTCAAGCATCAACTTTTAATGTCTTGTGTTTGCATAATTTTCTGCAGGTTATCAGCCTGGAGTTGTTGACTAGAATTCCTATGCTCTATATTTTCAAAGAAGGAAAGTTCATCCGAAGAGGGAGCCTAGTTGCACCTTCTGAGGCCAGTGTTTATGCTTATACTAGGGTATGTTGCTTCTTCACTATAATAATTCTTTGTTGCTCTATAATAATTCAAGAAATCTAGTATCCTCAATCGACTAGGTATAAACATTATATGAAAATTACAGATGTTGTAGGTTCTTTCGCATGCTCTCTGTCTGATTTTACTGGAACATAAATTACAAATGGTTAGGCGTGTTGTGTAATGTCTTAAGACTCTTACTTATTGTAGGTGTGTTGTTTTCATTGGAGCCATTGTTTCATTTGCTTGTGTTTATTTTCACAGATAAATTTGTAAAATCTTGACCCTTAATGGACTGGTGAACATAGGGTTGGTGTGGGTCATCATTTAATGATGTTCTCGCTAGGAACAGAATAAAAAATTCAGATTTGCTGGACATTTGGATTTGTGGTGCTATTAACGGTCATGATCTGGTTTATCATAGGTTATGCTAAAATATTTGATAGAGATTGCGATAATCCTCAGTTTAACTTTTAATTATGACTGAGAGGGCAGACATCCCTCATCGTTATGATGGTTACGATATTGTTTGTTTCGTCCTTCCTATCACATGACCATATCCAATTGAAAATCATGTTGTTTCACTTGATTTGAAAAGTTCATATAACAGATGTCTGCTATAGGCCCATAGAGTTAAATGACATACCCATGAGCAAACTAGCTATTGGTGGAAGCATTACGTAACTTACCTTAGATATTGATATATAATTTGTCGTAATTTTGTGAATATCCTCGATGTAGCTTACCTTGAATTAGGAATAACATAACTTTCTATTGTCATTTGCAGACCTTGGCTCAGTACAGACAGAAGCTAGATGAGATGGTAAACTGAATCTCAGACAACATGTGACCATATTTATATTATTTAGTTCAATTATTAGAGTCTTAACTTTTGAAGAAGTTCCTCATCTTTCTGTCTATTGCAGGTATTTGAAAGATTCACAATTGTTGAAGAAGATTTACATGGTTTTGTAGCTTTAGCGTGTTGTGGAAGAATCAGAAAAACCAGATTTTCTGGCATAAGTCGACTTATGCACAAGGCTAAGTCGACTTATGGTAAGTCGACTTGCCAGTGTGCACGAGTCGACTTACGATCTGTGCTGGAATTGTGAATTTTTGCTCTGCCAAGTCGACTTATAAAACCTGATAAGTCGACTTTTAAAGTGTTCTCCAGTTGCTGTTTTTTTCTCTGCCAAGTCGACTTACGCACTCTGTTAAGTCGACTTACGACGAGTATTTTGCATATTCAGGTTTCATGTTTGCACTCTGATTGGGGTTTTGTTTTGGTATAAATAGGGAAACGATTTGTGAGGGTTTTACATCAGAGATTGAGGAATCTTTTGAGCATTGTGAGAGGGAGATATTGTGAGCAAGGTGAGATCTTTGGTTGAGGGTTAGTTTGAGAGAATTTGTGTGATTGTAACCCTTTGTACTCTCCTTGATTTAGTGAAATCTCCCCATCCTCTCCCCGTGGACGTAGGCAAATTGCCGAACCACGTATATCTCTGTGTTTGGATTGATTTGGCTTTATTGGTTGATTTGTGCAAGAGTTCAGCATTTCTTCTACTCGTGATCACAGGTTCGTTGTGAGTTCGTGCAAGGCTTCCGCATAGGCGCGCGACAAGTGGTATCAGAGCTCAGATTCAGATCTGGGGTTTTGGATTAGGTGGGGAGGAAGATTCAGTTGGAAGCTTGGTTCTTGGAGTTCTAGGCTTTGGTGGAGTTAGGGTTTGAATTTGCTATTAAAGATCTCGCTTTCCTCGTGTGGTTAGGAGTTCTATTTGGAATCCAATCTAGGGTTCAGTTGGGTAATTTCTTATTCCTTTCAAAGTTTGGATCTTTCTCTACAATTTAGAATTTGTGATTATGGGTGAAGAAGTTGGTGAAAGCAGCAAGATGATAAGCACAGTTCAAGTGGGTTTTCAGAACACTAAGATTAGTGTAGTGAAATATGACGGCAAGATCAATTTTGGTTTGTGGATGAGCGACGTACAGGATGCGCTCAATGCTCAAAATCTGGAGGAGACCATCATGGTCGATGTGAGGCCACCTAAATATGAAGAGGCGATATGGGAAAAGATGAATCGAAATGCTTGCGGGGTGATCAGGTCCTGTTTGGAACAGGAACTGAAATATGATGTGATTGGAGTAACGTCTGCACTGAAGATGTGGGAGATTCTCAACAACAAGTATATCACGAAGAGTGTTGAGAACAGGTTGCACTTGCTGTGAAGATTATTCAGATTTTAGATGTCCAGAGGCACCTCGCTTGCGGCTCATGTGAACGACTACACTAAGTTGTTGTCGGACTTGGCGAACATGGATGAGAAGATCACAGATGAGTACAAGGCTATTATTCTTTTGGGATCCTTACCGGATGAGGAGTATGATACCTTCGTGCTTACGTTGCTGAACGGGAGATCTTCTATCACTTATAGTGAAGTGACTAACGCATTGACGAACTATGATTTGAGGAGGAAGGATAAGGAGACTTCCCGCGCTAGTACTTCAGGAGAGGCTTTGTCGGCGAGAGGTAGAAGCTCATATCAGAAAGGTGGAAATAGAGGGTGGTCAAAGTCAAGAGGTCGTCACCAGCTTGGAAAGAACCAATGTGCATTCTGCAAGGAGCAGGGACATTGGAAGAGAGACTGCCCGAAAGTCAAAGAAAAGGAGAATAGCAAGAATAAGGGCCCGAAGGCCAATGAGGTGAATGTTGCGAAAGGCGATGATTCCGATGATTCGAGCTTTTCTCTTTTGATTACTCCGGAGGTGAACCATTTGGATGCATCGAAGTGGATGCTTGATTCTGGCACTACTTATCATATGACTCCTAGGCGAGATTGGTTCTCATCATTTGAGAGACTCGATGGGGGTGTTGTTGTCATGGGAAATGATCAATTATGTGGTATTTGTGGGATAGGTACTGTGAGGATTCGGATGCACGATGGAGTAGTCCGTGAGTTGAAGGAGGTGAGATTTGTTCCTCAACTTAAGAAGAATCTTATCTCAGTTGGGGCTTTGGAGGCGAAGGGATTCAGGGTGACCTTTGAGGATGCTGTAGCAAAGGTTACTAAGGGATCTTTGGTGGTGATGAAGGGAGTCCGCAGTCATAACTTATACTATCTGAAGGGGAGCACCGAGATTGGCCAGGTTGCTTCGGCTATTTTAGAGGCGAACATGAGCAGACTTTGGCATTACAGGTTAGGGCACACAGGAGAGAAGTCACTGCAGGCTTTGTGCAAGCAGGGGCTATTGAAGGGAGCCAAGAGTGGAAAGATTAAGTTCTGTGAGCACTGTGTTCTTGGCAAGAAGACGAAGGTGAAGTTCGGGACGGCCATTCATAGGACAAGGGGCATCTTGGACTATGTGCACACAGATGTTTGGGGTCCCACCAAGACGACATCACTTGGTGGTCGACATTGGTTCATCACATTTGTAGATGACTATTCTAGGCATTGTTGTGTGTACACCATGAAGCATAAGAGTGAAGTCCTAGATTTTTTGTGGAGTGGAAGAAGAGATTGGAACTGCAGACTGGGAGAAAGATCAAGACGTTGCGATCCGACAACGGCGGCGAGTATACCTCAGACCCCTTTCTGCAGCTATGTCGAGACGAGGGCATAGAGAGGCACTTCACAGTTAGTCATACACCGCAGCAGAATGGGGTGGCGGAGAGATTGAATCGGTCTTTGCTGGAGAAGATTCGATGTTTATTGGCGCATAGTGGTTTGGAGAAGATCTTTTGGGCTGAGGCACTTTCTTATGCGAGCCACCTCATTAACAGGCTGCCTTCATCTGCGATTGAGGGGAAGACCCCTATGGAGATGTGGTCGGGAGAGATAGCACATGACTATGACCAGCTTAAGGTATTTGGTTGCCCTGCATATTATCATGTTAGAACTGATAAGTTAAAACCTCGAGCTAGGAAGGCCATATTTGTAGGATTCAAGCGTGGTATCAAGGGATACAAGCTTTGGGATCCAGTTGATAAGAAGATTGTGCTGAGTAGGGATGTCACATTCGATGAGGCTTCTATCTTGAAGCTTCCCAGCTCTCATCAGGTGGAGAGCGACCCGACAGAGGAGATTTCATAGGTGGTGAAGATTGATGCAGCTCTACAGAGTCCAGATAGTACAGTATCCATTAGAGTGCCGACTGAGGTGACGCCAGGCGAGCACGACGGTGATGCGGAGGATACGGGTACTCATGAGCAGGATCAGGGACCGACGGCTCAGGTTCAGGATTCTATTGCGGCACGGAGACAGAGGAGAGACATACGAATGCCAGCACGGTATGCCGACACAGTTGCATATGCACTTCCAGTGGAGAGTATCGATGAGATAGTGCCTACTACATTCAGAGAGGCCGAGCAGAGTTCGGAGGCTGATTCGTGGCAGGTGGCTACGCAGGAGGAGATGGAGTCTCTTCACAAGAACGATACATGGAAGCTTGTAGAGCTTCCAAAGGGGCGGAAGGCGATTGGGTGCAAGTGGGTGTACACGAAGAAGGAGGGCATTGAGGGCACTCCAGTGAGGTTCAAGGCTAGGTTGGTTGCGAAGGGCTATGCACAGGAGGAAGGTATTGATTACAATGAGGTTTTCTCTCCGGTGGTGAAGCATTCGTCGATTCGGATTTTGCTAGCTTTGGTAGCACAGTATGGATTAGAGTTAGATCAGTTGGATGTGAAGACAACATTTCTTCATGGTGATCTTGATGAAGAAATATATATGACTCAGCCATTGGGATTCCGAGCTGCAGGGAAAGAAAAGTTGGTTTGCAGGCTAAAGAAATCGCTATACGGTTTGAAGCAGTCTCCTCGACAGTGATATAGGCGATTTGATGGTTTTATGCTTGGTCATTCGTACACTCGGAGCCAGTTTGATCCTTGTGTGTACTTTTGCAAGTTGAGAGGAGGTGCGTATATTTATTTGTTGCTTTATGTCGATGACATGTTGGTTGCTTCTAGTTCCAGGTCAGCTATAGATGAGTTGAAAGTTCAGCTTTCGAATGAGTTTGAGATGAAGGACTTGGGCGAGGCGAAGCGCATTTTAGGGATGGAGATCGACAGAGACAAGAAGAAGGGCAGGATTTGTTTGACACAGGTGGCTTATTTGAAGAAGGTTCTACAGCGATTGAATGTTAGCATGGATACGAAGCCAGTTTGTGTACCGTTGGGAGCCCATTTGAAGCTTTCAGCTGACCTTTCACCAAAGTCAGTTGAAGACCGTGAGTTGATGTCGAAGACTCCATATGTGAGCGCAGTTGGGAGCTTGATGTACGCGATGGTGTGTACGAGACCGGATTTGTCACAGGCAGTGAGCATGGTGTCGAGATACATGCACGATCCAGGAGTGGGTCATTGGGATGCCGTGAGATGGATTTTGAGGTACATTCTAGGTACGCTCAATGTTGGTTTAGTTTATAAGCGGGACACTACAGGTGGGCAGCTATGCATTGGCTATGTTGATACGGATTATGTCGGGGATTTGGATAAGCGCCGGTCTACGACGGGGTATGTGTTCACTTTGACCCGTGCGCCGGTATGTTGGAGATGCACCTTACAGTCGACGGTGGCTTTGTCTACGATGGAGGCAGAGTATATGGCAGTTACAGAGGCTGTGAAGGAGGATATTTGGCTTCAAGGACTTTTGGAAGAACTTGGTATATCGCAGCGATCCGTCACTATTTATTGTGATAGCATGAGTGCTATATATTTGGCGAAGAATTAGGTCTTTCATGCGAGGACGAAGCACATTGACGTTCGTTATCACTTCGTTCGGGATGTTCTTGAAGATGGCGATGTGGAGATTGTGAAGGTCCACACAAAGGATAATCCGGCGGATATGCTCACAAAGGTGGTTCCGAGCAACAAGTTTGATCATTACAGAAACTTGTTGAATATTTGTGATTGTTGAGGCCGTTGGCGGCCATTTGGATAAACTACGGGCGGC